TTCTTAGTGTATATATATCATTGCCAGAACTGTAGAGTAAGAAAACAATGGCTTATATTAAATTTACTTTGTAAGTTGCTAAACATGTTGCTAGCCAATATAAAACACAATGCAGCGTTCACATGAAAAAGAGAATATATTCCACTTAGATTACTTCATAAGAGAATTTTGTCCTGTCTGTTAAATGACAATGGGCATGCTACACTCTTAGGGATAATTATAGCCTATGTTGAATGTAATCTAGGCTCTCAATGTCCTTCATATTTTTTGCTTATATATATTTTATTTGACTCTCTTAAGACCCTAAATCAGTAATAGACTATAAAAACAAGCTCATAAAATGCAAGAGCCTTTGAAAGATATTCCCCTAACTCTTCAGCTAACTGGCTGGAAAGTTAATTTGACTTCTCAGGTTCTAAACAGTGTAAATGACAACACAAGGTAACACATTTGGAATTTGGAAATGCTTTGGGGAAAAATATACACCTAATGAACACAGAAAATATCTAAATGCAGAAAGAAAGAGTAATTTCACTTTTTAAAATAATGATTTCTGAACAGCTTTGAGCTATTGATGACTCATTAGTTGACAACTTCAAATTAATGATTAATTCATTAACCCTTAGGGTGACTGACTCAAAGGACTTGGATCATAAACACTATCAATGTCTACTAAAACATATTTTAAAATCAACTAAGAATATTTTCTCACCACTTCAGTGATCAAAAATTATGAGCTTGGTTTTATTCCAAATAAAGTATAAATGGAAGGCCTTTTGCTGTACATGGGTTCTCAATAAGCAGGAAAAACATATGGCGTTCTCTCCTCTCTCTGTTCCCCTAATCCCACACTGCTTCCTTCCCTCCTCCTTGTCTTTCTTCCTTCCTTCTAGTTCATGGGGTTTATTGAATATGGATGCAAATGACTCATTTTACTTCCATAGGTCTTATTCAAAGATAACATAATGGCTCAGAAGGGCATAATGGCATAATTTTCACAGCAGAGTTACATAGTTAATATATCAAAGCACAGGAAATCAGTGTTAAAATAAATACTAAAAATTCCCATTCCAAACTCTGGAACTTCTCTGATGTCAGTTCCTAGTATATCACCCCCCAACCCCTCTCACCCCACACACACTTCTAAGATATTATGAAATTTCAAACTATATTTTCTGCCTGAAATTTTACATACTTTCCTCTTTACCAGTCCTAATAAACCCCAAATCTATTCATCAGATTTTAAATATATGTTTTTAAAAACCTGGTTTGATTTTAATTGACGTGGATATTGGCAATCAACAGCCCGGATTCAGGTCCTGATTCCGAAACTAATTTGTGTGTTCCACTGGGTGTCAGCTCTAACGTCCTTACTGCTTCTGAATTCCAGGTTTTTATGTTTCTATTAGCAAGTATTTTATATTTTGTACCACAAATATTGTGGCCTTGTCTAGATTATAAACAATTGCACTGCAAACAAAATCTCTAAGTTTAATTTGTAGAGTACACGTACTCGTGGAGACACAATCTGTACTATTTGATGATGAGAAAGAACCAGAGAATTATTAGAAACCTCAAACTATTAAATGGTGAATTAATAGGAGAGGAGACAAAAATAAAAGGAAGTTTCTCAACCATTTCTGTAATAAAATAACTATTGAACCAACTGGTAGTAAAGGAAAGCAATAAGACGAGAACACACTAAGTTTAAGATTATAGTGAAAAATGACTTGATGTGGTGAGAACGGTGAGATCCTATGTGTAGGTTTCTTGTATCCTCTTTATTACTTATTTTCTCTTTTTTTACACTGTTAGCAAAAGAAGAAATATAAATGTAAGTAAGTTTACTAACGATGTGTTTCAAGAACAGGAATTGATCTGCCAACACATAAAGGTTGAGTGACCAAATTCTGTGACTTTAATGAGCCATGTTCTTGGGCAGGCTTGATTTTTAAATTACTATCTCAAGATGACATCAATTATTGAGCAAAGGCACTTCAGTGGAGTGGGCCTCTTTTCTCTTGTGCCATCATCCTGGGAGAAGCAGCATATGGAGAGAAACCAACTGAATTATTTCAGTTTGAATTCAGATTGCAGAGGACTTAGTCATCAAATGGAGATCTGATCCAACATCAAGTTTATATACCCTATTATTGATAGAAGTCCAAAAACAGGATGTTTTTAATTTTGGTGATGTCCAGTTTATCTATTTTTTCTTTGCTTGTGCTTTTGGTGTCATATCTAAGAAAAAATTGCTTAATGCAAGGTCATGAAGACTTATGTCTATGTTTTCTTCTAAGAGTTTTATAGTTTTAGTCTTACATTTAGGTCTTTGGTCCATTTTAAATTAATTTTAGTACATGCTGTGAGATAGTGAGTGGCAGCAGATCTTCATCCCAGGGCACCAAGAACCCTGGGCCTTTGGAGTTAGAAAGGACATTACATTTTACATTCTTACTCATCTCACTTCACAGTTGAGGAACCTAAGGTATGAAATCAAGAAATTAATTGAAGTTGAATTAATTGAAATTGAGAGGTTAAGTGATTTACTCAAGGCTACAGAGCTGGGGTGGCAAAGCCATGGGGGCACACTGTGGTCACACCCACTCAGCTAAGAACACTCACTCGGCTTTCCCACTTTTCAAGGGTACACCCTATGATATGGGCTGAATTGTGTCCCCCCATTCATATGTTTAAATTCTAACCCCCTATATCTCAGAATGTAACCATATTTGGAGATAGGGCCTTTAAAAAGGTGGTTAAGATGAAATGAGACCCATAGAGTGGGGCCCTAATCCCATATGATGGTGTCCTTAGAAGAAGAGAAAGAGATACCAGAGATGCACAGGCACAGAGGAAAGGTCATGTGAGGACACAGCGAGAAGGTGGCCTTCTGCAAGACAAGGAGACAGGCCTCAGGAGAAACCAAACACCTTCATCTTGGACTTCTAGCCTCCAGATCTGCGAGAAAATAAATTCCTATTAAGCCATTCAGTCTGTGGTATTTTGTTATGGCAGCCCCACCAAACTAATACTCAGGCCCCACGCCTTAGAAACTGTGGGCTGGAGGCAGCTAGGCCATGGTCCAGATTCCTGGGCTTTCCCAGAGGAAGAAATGGAGTTTCTAAATAATTTTCAATATTCATAAAGGCCCAAGGGAAGTGTACAAAATACAGTCTAACGAATTCCACATGTGAAACCTGCTTTTGGGTGGAATTATATCAAGTCGATATGGTAACATCAGCTCTTTTATGTTCATCTGAAGCTTTAATTCGCAACACGTGTCTGATTAATTTAAAGTGAGAAAGTTTTTTATCATTTGATAAAGTTGATGTGTTTGGTAAATAAAAACCTCAGGCTTTTTGATAGAGAGAAGCTTGAACAGGAATCACTGCTTTGAGCCCTCGATTCCCTTTTTGGATCCTTCCAGACCCATGCTGTTTAGTCCTCTTCAGATTGCTAGAGCTCTTTCAGGGGTAAACTGAGCAAATTATACGGCTTGAGTCACTTGTTACATCAGAGGTGTTGAGAGCCATTGTTTTCAAATCTGGGAGCATCACTGACATTTGCCAGATGCTATCTACCTGGTTATTTTCTTAAGAGTCAATGAAATTTTAAGTGAAAATGATCCTAAGTGTATTAGTCAGGGTTCTCCAGAGAAACTGAACCAACAGGATATATACAGACATATAGAGAGAGATTTATTATGAGGGATTGGCTCAGTGATTGTGGAGGCCGAGAAGTCCTACAATCTCCCATCTGTCTGTAAGCTAGAGAGGCCCAGGAAAGCCGGTGGTGTGGATCCAGTACAAAGTCAAGTCGCAGTCCGAGTCTGAAGGCCCCAGAACCAGGAGCACTGACGTCCAAAGGCAGGAGAAGATGGATGTCTCAGCTAAAGCAGGGAGGAAATTTGCCTTTCCTCTGCCTTTTCATTCTATTCAGGCCCTCAATGGATTAGATGATGTCCACCTGCATTGGTGAGGGCAATTTTCTCTACTCAGTCTACAGATTCAAGCTAATCTCTTCTGGAGAAACTCTAACAGACACATCAGGAAATGTGGGCACCCCTTAGCCCAGTCAAGTTGACACTTAAAATTAACCATCACGCCAAGATAACAGAATATGTAAATAGCCTAATTTAGTAGGTGGATGGACCTAGCTCTTTAACTTAATAGAACCAAAATAAAAACACTCCACAGCACCCAGGACCTATACCAGGGCATCAAGAACTTTCAGTAGAACGTATCTGAAAGTTTGAAAAACAGAACTTTAAGCAGAAATGTACATTTTATTTAAAAAATAACAGCAAATGTATGAAGAACGCAAACTTCTATTGTGAACAGAAGTTTATTAAATGCTTTGTAGTAAAATATCTAGCCCACTGTATTACAATACACAGGCCTGATGTTGTAACAAGTAACATTGTGCCCCAACTCAGGGAAGCTCATGATGCTAACACAAGGAGAAATGTGGGGAGCTACAAACACAAACATATCTTCCTTCTCCTCTTCCACAATACCTGCCACACCGATGTTCAGAATGTTCAGACATTGGGAAAAAACCTGTAAAATTTCCTGAGTATTCCATGAAACGATTCTTAAAATTATGTTACTGTAACGGAAAACATGAAAATTTTCCGATGGAAAAGCCATTTTAATATTTACCATTTTCCGTAACTGAGAACCACCATCCTAAATATTTATTACACCATAAGAAAGTCTATGGAGTTTATAAGGCCTTCCACCACAAGGTAAATTTCAAGGCAATTTATCAAGGACCAAATTCTCTTGAACCACCAAGTTAGCGATATGCAAAGATAAAAAGAAATGTCAAGGTTAGCTGATTATTTTCCAAATAACAGGATCTAAAAAATATTGGGGGAAAATAAGGATGTGGGAATGAGTGGATACTGGATAATAGACATGGGTTGGAAAAGGTACTGAGACTATTAGCATTAACTAGCATATATGTATTTTAATTCATTAGTCAACATTTTCTTCATGGATATAATTATTTCAAGATAGCACTTCTAAAAACTATATTGGTTCATTCATTTTTCAAGTCAGCTGCAAAGAAATTTTGATTCTGTTTATCTAAAACCTTAGCTAACAGCATTTTGATATTTACCCCTAAGAATATCTGGCATTCTCAGCCATGGCTCTTGAATACATGGTTTCTTGATAAAATATGACTCAAATAGAATTGATGTTGAAAAAATTACTACCTATCTAGAGCTCAGGATAGGAGTCACAACCAACTTAATCAATTCATATCAATTAGTTTACAAAGAGCTAAACCAATTTAACCAACTCATTATGTAGCTCACACAAAAGCTAGATCTTTTTTCTTTTAAATAATTTAATCAATCCTATATAAAAGCAATTATTCAGAAAATCACATCAAGATTTGCACTTACACTCATTTATAAATACACACTGAATCTTAGGCCAGAATTTGGTACTTCTAGTCCACATCTGGTACCCTACCTTTTCCAAACTGGACATTTCATCCAATGAATATGACCATCAATGAAAGAACATAAAAGTAGAGAAAAGGAACTTTAATTCAGAGTGAAGTATTTTGAATTCATATTAGTAAAAAATGTCATGAGTGGAAAGAGATCATGAGCTTTCAAATGAGTGGAAAAAATAAAATCGTATGTGATAATATAGAATACTGCAATCATAAGTAACCGGAACATACAACCATCTCCATTAGAGAATTAAGCAGCCAGGTCTAATACACTACAAACCATTTGATTAAAAAGGCTTACAACCAATGTTTAACAAGGAAACACTGGTGAAAACAGTTTTAAAATATATAGCCTCGTAAAACGATATATTTTTCTAACATTAAAACTTTGTTTCAGAGGTTCCCCGCTTTAGGTTGTTACTCAAAAACTCATCATGTTCAAAACTCAAATTATTGTGAGATCGTGAAATCATAAGAAGCTTCTCCTTATTGGTAAAGTCTTTTTTGACTGCAGCTTGGGGCACAAGCAACCTCTCCATCGGGTCCTCTTTGTTCTCTAGTTTCGTATACCCTTTGCTGTTGCTTCGATCCAACCGAGGCCAACTTGGATGTTTCCGTTGTTCTGCCTGAACAGTTAGGGTGGAGGGACCCCGGTCTAAGTCTAAGGATTTTGAATGTGACGAGAGCAAATGCAAGGATGTGTTGGACCCAAACTGTCTTCTAGCAGCCCCAGGAGATAAGAGCTGCCCAGCTCCAGGTCCAAGGGCCACAGAAGACTTGTACTGACTTGACAATGACTCCCCAACGGAATTATTCCGTGGGAGCATCGTGCTGACGGGCTGGAAGGACTCACTGGTGTTGGGCAAAGGGACCACAAGGGAATCCATCGACAAATTCCTTGACCTACTTTTGAGGTGCTCAGCATCCTCGGTGATGTTATCTATGCTGGGCTCATCAATAACACAGTTATTAAGTTTGATGACAGGCAATGTGAATGCACTGATGGATGATGACACAATTGACTTGGTTTCACATTTCTTAGGGCCGCTGGTCTTATCATCGGTTGTCTTGGAAGGAGGTGGATAGAGGCCAAAGACAGAGATGGAGCTGTCAGAGGGCAAAGGTGGCATAAGATGCCCCAAACTCTTACTTTCATTCAGCACAAGCTCATCCTCCTCGACAGAGCTGTCTATACGAAAACTGCTCCTAAAACCCGAGAAAGAGGCGATGGTATTTGCTGCCAGTCTTGAGGCACAGGAGCTCCCATTCTGTTTTACTTCTGTTTCTCCCATCAAACCAGTGTAGATGCCATTCATATGCTTTTGCTCCTTGATCCTTAGCGTGTGGATGTCAATGACCGTGGAATAGATATCCCTCATGTGTATGATTTTGGTTTCTTTGTCACGGTTCTCATGAAGAATGGCATTAGCACAAATGAAAATGAAGATGCCAATCCCCATTGTGAAAGGGCCGAGCATTTTCATCTTATCAGAATGTAAATGCTGCTCAAAGAAGTGAACCACTACACTGCCTTGGTTCCGAATGACCTGAGTTTCGTTTGTTGACAATGCTGTCTCAGCATCGATAAAATGTTCTTTTTGGGGCCAATATCCAAGGACTGCCATTGCAATTCCTACAATGGAGATAAGCACTCCTAAAATGAGGAAAAAACCAGATGGGGAATAAAGCCGGATTTTGCCTCGAACAACCACGACATCAGCCCGAGGCCGACGCCTGACTGGTTTCTTCTCTTGGGCAGCAGGTGATGGGCTGAGGTTGACATGATGCTGTGATCTGGCAGAGTCTTGCCTTTTCAAGGCAGCCAGGCCGGTTATTACTCCACCAGTTGCTATCATAGCTTGGTCTTTTATTCTGAAAAGAAGGGAAAAAGATAATGCAAGTATGTTCTGGGGTATGCTCAATTCAACAATTGTTTATATATTTTTGTTTTTGTTATTGTTTCATATAATGAAATGGGACACACAAATATCTTTTTTTTTTTTTGGTTGAAGAAGATTGGCCCTGAGCTAATATCTGTTGCTAATCTTCATCTTTGTGCTTGAGGAAGAGTGGCCCTGAGCTAACATTTGTGCCAATCTTCCTCTATTTTGTATGAGGGATCCCACCACAACATGGCTTGATGAGCAGTGCCTAGGTCCATGCCCGGGATCCGAACCTGTGAACCCTGGGCCGCGAAAGTGGAGTGCATGAACATAACCACTACGCTACCGGGCCAGTCCCAAGAATATCTTTTTAATCGACACAGTTTGGGTAGAAGTTTTGTTAATTGACTAATGTAAAATTCTGGAGATTTCCTTTTTTGGCTGAATTAGTGTTTCTATTATTAATGAGACACGAGCTCAAGGTATATGTTACTTAAATAATTTTATCGCTTATTATATAAAACAGTCCCCTGCTCACAAGACACATTCTCTCTGTCACACACATATGCATGTGCATGCACACACACATATGCCATCCTTCATTATTTGTATTATTTTAAAGAAATGGAAAAATCCAGAACACTTAATAGGCACAAAACAAACAAACCCTAGACTTACAAAGAGAATACATTCCAGCAACTCACGATTCTAAGACCACTCTTATGAAAGTCACCACTGAACTCTTAACCATCACACTTAATCTCTCCCTCTCAATTCTCATCTTCCTTACTTCTCTGTTTCCATGGACATTACTGACCTCTCCTTTCTTGAAACTCTCTCTTGTCCAGTCTTTTATGATACTAAGTCTTCCAGGCTCTTCCCTGATCTTGCTATTTCAATTTTGGTTCATCTTCCCTCACCTCAAAGTAGACCACCTTCTCCTGCGAGTCCAGTCCTTGGCCATCTTCTCTTCATACTCCCTCTCGGCATTCATATCCACTCCTACACCTTCCACCATTTCCTGTGTGCTGATAAGTCCCAAGTCTATAGTTCAAATCACAGCCTGAGTTTCGATTTCACATTCCAACTCTCCATTGCGGAACATACGTGTATACATTTGTGCACCGCTAGCAAAGCTGAACTCTCCTTCCGCCAGCACTACTTGACTTGCCTGATTTTTCTAACGGCGTCAATTCTCAGGCTCGAGTCTTCACACTTATCTTTAAGTCCTCCCTTTCTTCTTCCTCTCATCTTCCAATCAGGTTCTAAATCCTAGAAATTCTCACCACCCGTCAATTCCACCCCTCTGTTCCAGCCCTCCTCTTCCCGGCCTAGTGCAGCTCTTATTAACCCTTACTAGACCATTATAATAACCTCTCAACCAGTCTTCCAAACTCCAATTTCTCTTCCTCCACAAGCAAACTTACATGCTGGCTGAGGGCAGATTATTATCTCAAAACACAACTCTGAAGTTGTTTAAAGAGTGGAATAATGGATGAAATAATCCCCACTACCTACCAAAGCTTAATCTGGGATTTCAGACCCATGGAATTTAGCTTTATCTCTACTGCTCCTTTTCATTTACATAAAACTAAAACCAACAATATTCCCTGTATTCCATACATACATCCATTCCTGTTTCTGAAACTTTGTTAATAATGTTTCACCTGTCTAGATCCCCCTCACCCCCTCCTCCTAAATTTCACATATCAACATCTGGCTAGTCATCAAAGCTCATACTCCACTTCCTTTGTGAAGCCTTCTCTGGCTGACTCAGCCAGTCCCACGGGAGTTCTCATTCCTCAGAGCATTTTAGCAACTTTTCTATGGCTGTCACCATATTATAACATCTTAGTTCTTTCACTTCTTGTGGTCAAACATCAAGTTTAATTCATATTTTTATTACCAGAAACACTCAATATAGTACCTTGCACATAGCCAGTGTTGCTGAGTAAGGAAGTAATTCTTGTCCTGAGATTTGCTGGATGACCATCATATTACTATATTAACTTCCTTAATTAAAAATATGAACAAACAAAATTAATACCAAAACAAAAAGCAACATTTTGTGGTTGGTAAAATATTTGTCATTATTTGTTATGAATAGCTTTCAAGCTGCCAAATCTGCCTGGTAGGAAACGGAGGATATTTTAAGACTCACAAGGTCTCTGGCAAATTTCTGAGAAGGTTTCTTTATGGCATCAAATCTTGTCTTGCAAAATCAACCTCTCCTTTTGAATTGCTATTTATGATTTCTGAAGTGTGTTTAAAGAACAGGGTTGTGGCTGGCATCTACGGTTTTAGCTAGCTGAACAAGCTGGTGAGTAAACCCAGTCTCCAGTGGAATTATAACTAGGATTAAAATATTTAATGTTGGAAGAACAAATGATATCATAACCCATGGCTCCAGTCTACATGCTTTATCACAGTATACATACTACAGCTCGGGACTTCTCCCGAACCTTGGCTAAAACAAAGCTTAGTGTCAACCTATGGATTCTAGAACCCAAAACAGTTTCAAATGTTTGAATAAAATGCTTAGATTGGACAGCAGCCACCTAACTCAGTTACTTCCATATGGCAGGATAGGGATTTAGTCTGAAATCCTTCTGAATAGAATGAAAACAAGGGCAAAAAGCTTTCGTCTGGTTTAAAAGCAACCGCTGTGAATTATCATTCCATCCGGAGTCCTAGTCCTCCCCCGCTTGTTAAAACATTTTCAGCTGGCACCGCCATTTTCCATTCCTGAGGCTGATAGAGGAAAGGAGGCTGGAAGAGAGACAATTATTCTGACAAAGATAGACGAGGACAGGAAGGTGGGAAAGAGCGATGAGTGACTGGGCTCCTCCGTGAGCAGGCAAAGCAGGTTAGACCAGACAGGAAGAAAAAGCAAGGTCAATTCAAGAGCGTGACAATGTACAGAAAATGAGAGGAGAAAAGCCTCCTGGAGGAGTTTAGAAATGAGGAAAAGAATGGGGGGCAATGGAAGGAACACACAGCTTCTTCGTCTGGGCCTGGCCCGGGCAGACGGCACACCAAGACTCCCCAGGATTGGCAAGCTCAGGTTGGGGGCCAATGTCCTCCTTGAATGCGATGCAGGGCAATTCAACAACAAGTGAGCCTCTATTCTGACTCAGAGACCCAAACAGACCCCGAGGGGAAGGCAAGAGGCGCAAACTCAGTCCTGGCTTCAGAGAGCTTGAAACCTTATGAAGGAGCTAATCTATCTAAATACAATGGACTGAGAGAACCCCTAGAATGAGTCTCAACTAGGGAGGGCCTTTACAGCAGGCTTCATGCATTCTGATATTCATCCCAGTAAAAAACGTCAAGTGAATAGCATTTCAGGGAAGGTCAAGAGAAAGAAAGGCTGGAGGTCAGAGCTCTGGCCTGCCCTCAGCACACAGCTCAGCCCTGAGGGCGGAAACCAGGAAAGGCTGGAGAGGAAAGGGGCCAGGTCTCAAATGGTGCCAAGTGTCATCCCTAAACGCTTGAATTTTACACTCATACACAGTGGAGCTGGAGTGAGACACAAATACTGTTGTCCTCATCTTAGGAAAATTAATCTCAACTTGTAGATGAATGCAGTAAGGAGAGGCTCCTATTAGGAAATAGCGTGAGGATGCTAAAGGTGGTTTTGCAGTAAGAAGCCTAATGAGACTATAAAATCTAGAGAGCAAATTGACAGGCCTTTGCATCTTCAAACTGCAATGTCAACTTGGTCCAGTGTTCAGTATAAGCAAAAACAGCGTACATCTATTCTTTTCATTTGTGCTGCAAAGCCACATACCCTCCATCCTCACTTTTATCACTTTTTTTTTTTGGTGGCGGGGGGGCATGAGCAATAGAGACCCTGTTAACTACAGTCTCCTTATTGTAACAAATGACAGCATTTTCCTAAGTTTTAATAATAACAGTGATAGTATAAGAGCTAACACAGACTGCCTATGGTCAAGCACTGTTCTAAGTGCTTTAGGTATAAGAACATATGTATTCTCACAATTCTGGAAGTGGAGATAATACGATCTCTGTTTTGCAGATGAGAAAACTGAGGCTCAGAGAATTTAGGTAACCTGCCTAAGGTCACACAGCTCGGGGGTGTGGTCTTACAGAATCTGAGAGGAGGATGGGCCTCCAAATTTGCTCTCACTTGAGGTTTTCTTTCCTTGTCAGTTTTTCTTATTTTGCTTCCTGTTTGCGTCAGAAAACCAGACCCTCAAGAATGCTGCTTTGCCTTTAAAACTGTGACTACGAACCAACCGACTTCCATGTCTCAAATCACACTGACCCCCTGGGAAGAGCCATGGGGAGTGGATGAGGTTGAAAGCCTGTCCTTGGGCGAGCATCAGGCCCTCACACTGTCCGGATCTCCTCCAGAACAAGAAGGTGCAGACTCGGAGCAGATCGCTCCCCACTCCTCCTCTTTGCTCTCTACCATCCAGGGACTTACGTCCTCAAAGATCCAAGAGAAGAATTTTACTACACTGAACTTCCTTTTGTTAACTTAGGCACAGAGTTTTTGCTTATCAATTTCTCTGGATCCAAAGCTTCACCCCAACTTTTGGAACTTAAAGAAAGTATAGAGCCTAGAGCCCTGTGGTATTTCACTAGAGACCTCCTCTTAGGTAGACATTGTTAATTTGTGTAGATATTCATTCATGTAATTAGTAAAAACTGATACCTGGCTTTGCAGTCGTATAGGGCTCAAAATAATGTTTCTTGGCCTGAAGAATATAATGATCAGCAACTATCTTTGTGTGTGTGTGTGTGTGTGTGTGTGTGTGTGTGTGTGAAGAAGATTAGCCCTGAGCTAACATCTGTGGCCAATTCTTCTCTGTTTTGCTGGGGAAGATTGGCCCTGGGCTAACATCTGTCCCCATCATCCTCTATTTTATATGGGACGCTGGCTCAGCATGGCTTGACAAGTGGTGCACAGGTCCACACCCAGGATCTGAACTAACAAACTCCGGGCTGCCGAAGCGGAGCAAG